GTTCTTAGCTTTTGATGTCCTTTTCATCAGGTTTGTACCAGCAACTAACGTTCACTAGCGTCAGAGCCCAGGTAGTGGTATGAGATTGACCTTATTATCCAGGTAAATGGAGACAATCGTGCATGCTTACGCCATGAAGAACACTGTTCCTACCTGCAGCATTTTTCTCCTCAACATTCAATTTTTGTTAAAGTAAAAAAAAGAAAGAACTGCATCTTTACATTTTACAAACAGTCCTCTAAATTCTATCAATATCATTCTCCACAAAACCGACTGACCTCAGTATATCCAGCAGCAGTCTGATAAACAAACCACCAGATTATCCAAACAGTTTAAACCATGTGGAGATAAAACTAAAAGTGATGACGCCTCATTGCACATGCACACGTATGACAAGCAGGATGGATCAAATTTGAACAAGGAAGCACATCTACAAACTGTGAACACTGTTTACAAAAGACATTATTTCACTGTTTTTCTTTTCTTTTTTTAATTAATCTGTCTAACCTGTTTGTCTGAGTTTATTTCCTTTGCCGACTTGTTTTTAGCCATATTTCCGATCCATCCCAGCTGTAATAAACAATTCCTTTGTAGGTCTAAAAGCTTACCGCTTCTGTCCAACCTGCAGGAAGCTGTGCCTGCGCCTGAAGCCCAGCAAGACTCATTAACCTCAGGAAAGAGGATGGTTTTGGTTTCTTCTGCAAGGCGAGGCAGATGGGAGAACGTGTCCCATCAAGACCGTAAAATATCGCAAATGTTACCAGAAACCTTGCAAAGGGGGGGCTGAATTCTTCTCGCTGAGAAACACTTGGACAGCCCCCAGGCCGTGACACAACCACTGCTGGAGTTGGCACATTTGTTACCAGGCAATGACGAGCCATTTCAGTAATGTAGTAATGTGCATGTATTGTTAAGATAGTAAAACAAATTATATCAACAAAGAGGTGTGTATGCGAGGGACAGACGGACACTTTGTCATCGCACGACATCGAGCAAACATCTGACGGCAGCAGTCCCATTCAAAGCCGTCTAATCTGCAAGAATTTCATGAAAACACAGATAACAAAGACCTCAAATACACAGCGCACTACCATTTCTACAGTTAGAGGCTGGTAAATAATTAATATAGACAAAGACATGATCAGTGTCACGTTTCCAGTTGTAGCTCTTCCATAAAGATGAGGCAGAGAGTGAACGTGAGATCATTAGATGAAGCTGTCCAGAGGAAATGATACTGTCAGGGCTTATTCGTTAATCAATACAATATTTTTCATCCATTACCTCTGCCAAGAAGGTTATGTAATTGGTTGGGTTTCTTTGTTTCTTTGTTTGTTAGGCTACCCCTCAATTTTCTTTACCGCTTATCCAAGAGTGATGCAATCTGGGCAGGTCTCGTAGAGACAGGCAAACATTCACAGCTTTGCCCAATTTAGATACACAAATTAGCCTAACAGGGCTGTGGGAGGAGAGAGTCCATGCAGGCACAGGGAGAACATGTGAACTCCACACTGAAGCTGCCCCGCAGGTTCAAACCAGGAATGCTGTTACTAGTCACTGCACTGGGTGGTGGTGGTGGTGGTGGTGGAGGACAGCTAGTCAGTGGTAGAGCGATTTGTCTGGTTATAATGAACAACATGCTAACTAGTTACTCGAGATGGTGGCGTCCAGGTCTAAATTCTTAGAGGGTCATGTGGCGTTCAGCCACACGAGCCTGAGCAACAACAGGTCTGTGATGAGTGAAGTACTGAGCAGATGAGCATGTGTCCATCAAAGACAAGCATGGGTAACCCTTTCCCTTAAATGAGGAAATCCCTGTAAGTGTTGACCACAAGTTTGAATTGATCACGTCCCCCACCCTTCATAGACACCGCCCATCACTACTCACGATGGTTTAGTGAGTCCTGAGATCACTATCAAACATGACATCCGAGGAGAAATAAAAGTTGTAACATATTAAATTTGAATAAGAAAACGAGGAAACATCATTTTTATGTTTTCAACAAATGAGATATTCTTCTGGATCCAGAGAATTTATTGCTTTTTATAATTTATTCCCTGTGGAGGGAATTTTCATTCTTGATCGAGGTCTGCACTTTTTCCACGTGTCCTTAATCAAAATTTATAATTACTATTATTTTATAGCGCTGTTGTTAAAGTTGATGAGTTTTTTTCCCTTCACATAACAGTTATTTAAAATATGGTGCATGGATATTTCCATATTAGACCCAATCAGTATTTTGGTCAACCAATAGATTTATCATTATTGGCCTATATGGTGCTCAATGTGTGCCAAAACGTTATCCAAGAAAAACAAACAAACAAACAAACAAACAAACAAACACACATGTTAGTTGAAACTGCTATCATCGTAAAGCTGATGCAAATAATAGCAACTACATCATTTGCAAATCTCTGCAGCACATCATCATTATCTCTGCAACTTTTATGTATTATGAATCTCATGGTTTTATATTTAATACGTGCCGGGTCCTTTCTCTCTCTCTTTTCCCTCTCCCAAATTTTTTTTCCTATCTTATTTTGTCAAGCCTTTTGGTATACCCTTGGTTTTTTAGTGTGCTTTATAAATAAAGTTTATTATTATTATTATTATTATTATTATTATTATTATTATTATTATTATAAGCTGCTAACTAGTTTAAAAATGTAATAAACAATGACCTCATATTCATCATGAACTAAGCGGCTTATATCTAAAGGATCTCAGCGAAGATCAGAATTTATTAAAACCAAACTGCTTTTTGTGGTTATAGTTCCAGCAATCTTGGACTTGATTGTTTTTTTTAATGGATAAACATCATTGTGGTGGTTTTAGACAACATTTCTCGACATGCTCTTAAGTAGTTTCATCCAGAGTGAACTAAGAAGATTGATAATCACTTCTTCTATAGCTGTGTGTAGGGCCCCAGTCATGCAGGCCTCTGGGCTCATCCGTGTTCCCGTGGCAACCATCAACGTCATCCAGTTTGTGTGGCACTTTCTGAAGTTTCACTACAGCCCTGAGAGTAAATAGCAAATATCTGGAGAAAGCCTTTGATGCAAACTAGAGGCAGCTGGACCAGTGAGCCACTAACCAAACCAATCACTTGAAGGTTTTTGGTTCAACACCCTCTTCCTGACTGATTTCACCTGATGACAGCCCGCAAACTCCAGCGACCGCTCACCAACGATTCGGTGATGTCAACAAGCTAGCCAGGGTTCCTCCAAATCAAAAAGGCCTCCAGCAGGGGTGGGGAACTCCAGGCCTCTGGAGAACTTCAGGACATGTTGAGGAGGTAAATTAGCCATTAAAATCAGCTGTGTTGGATCAAGGACACGTCTAAAACCTGCAAGACCCTTGAGGCCTGGAGTTCCCCCACCCCTGGCCTACAGAGACCTCCAAATATCGCTCATTCATCAAGATCTCCAACAAATAAACATCTTGCATATCTCTAAATAAATTTACACACAACTAAAAATGCATTACTAACCATTTCTCTACATTATTTTAACAGTGACATTAGCACATTTGGTACCTTTGTGTCGGAGCGAGACCAGAATAAGCAATTTCCTGATACTTTTAGCTACTGTGCTAAACTAGGCTAACCAGCGCCTTAGTTTAATTTAAAAAAAGAACACCTGTGTCAATGTTAATAGTTATACAGGACAGTCCTAGTTTCAAATACAGACTGAGTTACATGACTCAGTCTGTATGATTTATGAGTCATATTTTGGCAGGCTTTCTCTTCTAAGGCCTATTAAGAATCATTAAGATTGTATGATCATTAAGCAGATATGAACACAGAAGAGACTCGTTGTCTTAAAAAACCAGCAAAGCAGTCGACTGACTGGGTCCTTCCTGCAGGCTGAAGGTCGAGAAATCAAATGACTTTGTTTGACTCTCCAAGGCAGTCATGTGTGCTTTTATTCAATAGTTTCCTCAAAGAAAACTCCTGACTGCAAAGTGTAAGAAAAACAAATACAGAAATAGCTTATATGGGATTGAATGTGAGTCAAAGTCAGCCTGTAATGTTTCTATCTCAGAGAAGGAAGACACCGAACAACATGAAAACATAAAATAATGATTGATTCTTTATTTGAGATTGTTATCAGTGATTAATAAGGGTGGGGGTTAATACATTATACCTGCTTCCCTTTGCTACAGCCTGTCAGTGAAACTCCCTGCCTGTATTGAAGTCATGTGACTTTAGTCAAGGATTTGGAGATGTCGAAGGTCCAGTGACTGGTGGTGATTCCTGTGTGTATCCTAGAAAACATGCTGACTCACTGAACAAGTACTAATGGATGCCTTTCAAGAGTATACAACAAAAATACTCAGGAAACTCTCAAATTAAGCAATATATTAGAGACAACTAATTGAAAACATAGCAGCACCACGAAATATCCCTCTTCTGGTTCAACTCTGACAGTCATATTCTGGAGTCAAACAGGGGAAAACCCTGCCCAGTTCTGTGGCCAATTAGTTTTACAATGGACATGTTCATGAACTCCACTGAGAAAACTGTAAATTTTGATTTTCCCTGTCGTTATTACCTGGATAACGTTGCTGTGAGATTATTAAAGTTGCTTAAGTGTTTATCAAAGCCGTGTGCTTTGTTCGGCAGTCCAAGTAGTAGATGAAACAACTTTAAGTGTATTAAAATCCAGCTTTTAATTTACATTTAAAATAAGCATTAAAATAAAAAAGTCTAAGCATTAAAATACATAGATGAATTGAATCATTAAATCGCCGAATTAACAAAAAAGAAAAATACGAAACTAAAATACAAATAATCCAATCCGATTATGTGTTGTTTATGTTTTCCAGCCGGGAATATATTTTAAAATCAGGTGTTTTTTAATGGAATCGGGTGTGGTGCACTAAGGTGTCTTTCCATTCACAAAACTGACCCGAAAACCCATTCGTCAGCACGTAAGCCAAAATTAAGCAACAAATAAAGACACGCAGAGAATGAGAGTGTGAGAGAGAGTGGCGAACTTACTTGTCAGCGAGTGTTGACTGTGTGCCACTCATTGGGCTTCCCTTGTGAGTTTCCGACGGCTTCACCCAAACAACATTACCATCATAACTCCCGACTCTTCTGTACTAAAACTGCTTCTTCATTTCGTCTCCTACGCGTCCATGCACGTCCCCGAAACGCTGCCTAGTCTTTACATCCAGCATGAAGGTTTAAAAATCAAAAGTAAAGCTCCTCGGAGACACAGGATGTGTGTTTTTATGTATCTATGGGACGATCCAGCTGTTTAAACTCCAGCAGAAGTGATGAAATGAAATTCGCTTCTTTCAGAAAGCAGCCGCTGCCTGCATCAGGAGATGGACATCTGGAAAAAAACTGGTTTTTCTCCCCAGCTTTCACATTCTCAGATTACCTTCAAGTTCAGAGAGAGAGAGAGAATCTCTTGTTTTTCCTTAGGAAATACTTCCATGATGACACTCCAGACTATTCCTGGTGTCCGGGGGAGAATTACGTCAAACTTTGGCTGCTGGATCCAAAATGAACTTTTTCCCCCCTCTTATTTGCGCGACGTCCCGGTGTTGTTCACTGCGCGGATGTGGACGGTTCGTGCTTTCTGGGGCATCCCGCAGCCGATCTTATCGCTAATTTGTGCGAAGAGTCGCGGTCGTTGCTCTGCTGTGTGATGCATTTGGGAAAGAGGAAATGCTTTGTGCCCCCTCCCCAAAAAAGAAGTGAAAAGAGGAGGAAAAACACACCTTCCATCACGATGCGTTTAGGAGCCCATCGGAGTTCTCTAAACTATACGCTTTATAACGAATATGGTGGGGTTTGTTTGTTTGTTTGTTTTTACCTTATCTAACAGTGAATCACTTTCTGTGCAACACACTCTTAAAGTTAATCTGATTACACACAGATACACTTTACCCAAGCACAATTTGTGCTGTAAAGGATCGGGTTTTGCAGATATTATGTAGAAAAGTCTTTACGTGTTTTCATCTATTTAAACTGCTGCTTTGTTTAACTTCTATTTTATGCCATACATGGATGTCGGTTTTATTTCAGCGTGGCTTGGAGCACATTAAGAAGGCGCTCTGGGGGTGCAGACTTAATTTCCTCTTTTCTTAATTTCCTCAGCATATACTGGAATATAGCGCACTGAGAGTTTTCTCATTTAATATTATCCCTTTAAATAACTAACAGGTCTGTCTGATACTTAAGCTGCTTTAATCTGTTAGCTGATTAATCATTTTATTTTATGAACCTCCTGGCTTTAATAATCCATACACTCAAAACGTTCTGCATATTTAAATCCATAAACTATATTTATATAAATATGTATAAACTTCTTTACACTGACAGAGAAGGGCCACTGGTCCACACTACTTAAGACAAAACTGGGCTGTGTGACCCACAATGTAAAATGGGTTGGACAAATGTAAATGGATCAAATTCTGTTATCCTTAATACCAGAGTTAATAGTTTTGCATTATCTAAATGGTTTCTATTTTTATTTGTTCTCGAGTTTTTGCTGCCACTTCAATTCAGATTTATTTAGTTTCCAGAACAATTACTGATCCGTGCATAAAGTATTATTATATTACAATATTTCGCTATTAATTGACAAAGCAACACGTGACAACAAGTGACATGTAAAAATATAGTATAGAATAGAAATCTTTGTTGTCATTAGAAATAAAGCAGTTTGAGATTGGGATGAGTCACTGAGCCACTCCTGTGTGGTGCAACAAGGTTGAAACTACATGCATACATTCATGTATGATTAAATAAATGTTACACAAGCATCCCTTAAAACTGTTACTTAAAAAACAAAAAAAGAAATAAACATTAGGCAAATCACAAAGTAGCACATGCACACAATACAAAAGAGGCAACTGGACCATAAAGTGCAGGGGTCAGTTGATGTCTGCAGGTCTGGAGCTATTCTGCAGTAAAGTTTTCTGACATGAGCGTACTTCATATCAATAGAATATTAATATATTACTATATGTGTTACTGTTAATCTGAATGTGCAGGTTCGAACAGGTGGTGCCAAGGTGATATCAGTCTTTTACAATGGTTTTGGCCCTGACCCTGCTTTGATTTTATTTTTTTTTGTCTTAGTTGACGATATTGCACTATATATTATGGTTTCGTTTTGTTTTTTAAGTCAACCCGGAGACTATAGATCTTTATTTGACAATGTGGTTCATTGTAAACTGGCTGATCAACTGTCTTTGGCGGACTTACAATCAAACGCCTGTAGGGGGCACCAGTGCACTGGTACAGAAGAAGCAGCAACAAGGATTGTTACACGAACAAGAAGGGCATCCGTCCACAGGCCAACCACAGATACTTAAAAAAAAAAACAGACAACATAAACATTGTCACATATTTAGGCAGATCAGCTGTTTTAGCACCTTAGCTCCCGTTTTCTTTGGCACTTTCACTAGAGATCTCCTTCACGATGTGGTAAACTATCTAAATGTCTTGCGGTCGGCCATGTTTATTGGGATGGCGGCTTTCCGAAGGCCTTGAAGTGGCACTGCTACCGGACGGTGAGACGTTTGGCTCATAGAAACAGCTAGGTTGCTAAGCTAAGCTAACAGCATCCACTGCAAAGGTTTTTGTCATCAAGATGATTAAATATGATGCTCATCTACTGGTACTTCATTCTGGGGGCATGCTAGTATGTATCCTGAGGTTATTGGACATATTTGCACCGCACTGGAAGCATCGCGGGGCAGTTTGATGAAGGCGGTATGCACCGTTGTTTTGCGACGTACTAACAGAAATTGACCCAGAAAATGTAGCAGCAACATTTTTCATTGTTTACAGCATAATGCCTGACCCAGAGAGAAAACCGCTTTCCTTTTCTAAGTGTTAGCACCTTCAGTGCTCTTCGGCATGTAAAGTCTGCAATAGGGTTGAGTTAGATTAAACCAAAGAAGAATTTTTATGTATTTTGTTGGCAGTGTTTATTGGTTGAGAGGCCCGGTGATGGGCGGAACACCGACTGTTAACTGTTCAGCTCTTACTGACATCTGTGCGGGCTGGTCTGGGGCAATCTAGCCGGGAGAGGCGTACACAGTCCCCGACAGAAAGCACACTTTTTGGAGCCTCTTCATTCAGCTTTTTTGCTCTAGAGTAAAATGAACCAACCAAAGATGTGATACTAAACTACGTCTGTCTAATAGCTGAACATCCCTGTTTCCACTGACAGCTGTGTTGATGTGGCAATGCATGCTTTAAATGAGTCAAGTGCAGTCGCTGGTTGCAGACTGCTTAACTGCAGACTGTTTTGCATGTTCAGACTTGTGCAAGTATTTGTTTTAGAAATGCAAATTACAAGATAATGGTTTTTCTTCTACTTTATTTGCAAAGCAATCCATTTGTTAAGATTATAGCATTTGTTATTAATATGAATAGGTTGTCTAATTGGTGGCCATGTATCTAATATATATTTATATATAGTAATATATATCCAGTTTAAGTGGGCATACACATAATAAAAGGCACATACATGAAACAATTTAAAAAAATATAATCTTTAACTTAAAATGTAATGAAATAAAGAAATGTAGTTCCATACTCTTACATACTCCTGTGACCGGATATTGAAAGTCCTATATTAAATTTAAGCAAAGAGCAGAGGTAGCAGGTCAAATGAACACAATACAATGGAGAGCAGTGTAGTATGAAGAGAGATTAAGGGGTTAATAGCTTTCATTCTTACGAAGGTGGGTCTTTTCTTACTTGGATCACCACGGTAATGTGCTGAAAAACTTAATTAAGAGCAGCTTATGTTCAGCGTTTCAGTTTAAAATGGTCCAGAAGTGTTATATTTTCTCTTCGTTGTTATCTCTGATCTGGATTTGACGCTTTTTCAAGTCAGCTATCACAAAGAAAGCCTGGCTAGGTTGAACTTGCTTCCCTTAACTCTCTTCTGTTACCTAAGGTGGACTATCACACCTTTTCATGTGTTGACATTTGGTGTTTTTTAATAGTCCAGCACCTTCATCCTACTGTCCAAAGACTTGCATATTAGAGCAGTTGGTGAGGTAGATAAAGTGCTTAATACTGAAGAATAAAGCACTGTATTGATGTACGGCTACAGTGGCTTGGAGTAGTGAGAAAGACTAGAGAAAGGTGCCATGTAGATATGAGACCATTTCCAAATCATTGTGTTGTCACTGTTATAATATTGTTATTTATTTTGTTAAAATTTGTGGTATCTGTCCCATATTGATTTTTAGATGTCGCTACATGTAAGGGAAACAAAGGAGAAGCGGTTCATTTCCACATTTAATGACTGTCCCCTTTGTTTACGTCAGAGACCTCATCAGGATTTGGCCTATTTTATATGGTTCATATAAAACAGAATCTGTGTTACCTTAATTATTAGAAGTCTTAGCGTTTCCCTGTTATTTTTGGCCATTCGATAAACATAAATATATTTGCGCTTGAGTAAATTAAATTCTGTATAAAAATAGTTTTAACGGTTTTATTTTTGCTAGTCCTGGTCGTAAAACTCTTTGTGCTGACATGTTTTATATTCAGGAAAAAGTCTGCTTGTTATATCGTGATGAGTCCAATTTACCTCCATGGAATGACAGTTTGCTGAAGCTCTTGAAGAAAGAGTGCACGGGGCCTGGTGAGCTTAACCATGAAGCACTGTGGTTTATGGGAAATCGAGTCCTAACTTGCCTTCTTGCTTACTGTCTTCTTAGCCAATGATTCAGCTGGAGAAACCAGTGCTAGCTGGTACCATGCCGGTGGTGTGGCCCACCATCCTTGACCTGGGCAGGGATGAGTGCAAAAGAATTCTGCGGAAACTGGGTGAGCTCAAAGCAGTGCAATGTTATCAGTGGCTCTGATTGAATCTCTTTTATATGCAAAAGACCTGCAACATTTACAGACTGATGTTTGTGTGTCGCAGAGCTGGAGGCGTACGCTGGGGTCATCAGCGCTCTGAGAGCCCAAGGAGACCTGACAAAGGACAAGAAGGATCTGCTGGGCGAGCTCACTAAAATCCTCGGGTAATATTTGTTGTTTTTAAATAGTTTCTTTCATTTTTGCTTGCAGAGTTAGGTTTATTTAAAACCAGCCTTTCCTTTTTACCCTTGCCCTCACAGCATCTCTACAGAGCGTCATCGCGCAGAGGTCCGCAGGGCTGTCAACGATGAGCGCCTCACCACCATCGCTTATCAGTAAGTATGAGACTGTTTAAGTCCAGCTCTGTAATGTCTGTGGAGGAGAGCAAAAGGGACGTATTCAGGTTTTCCTCAAAGTTTTCATTAGTCTTTTCCTCATTCACTTTAGCAACAATGAGCTATTTGGCTATTTATTTAACCAACCTCTGCTCCAGTGCTTGTCAAACTGTAAGGTGTGGAGTGAAAGCATGTGGAAATAAAAGCTTTAGGTTTTAAACAGGCCTTTGTTGTACCCTGACTCTGAGCCTGAGTAACTTTGAGGACTTATAACGTTTCCTCTCGTGCCGTCCTCTAATCAGATTTCCGTTCTTTTTCTTTTTCAGCATGTCGGGTCCAAACAGCTCCTCTGAGTGGTCCATTGAAGGGCGGAGGCTTGTTCCTTTGATGCCGAGGCTGGTTCCCCAGACGGCCTTTACAGTCACAGCTAACGCTGTGGCCAGCGCCACGGCCAATCAGAACGCCTCCCTCCTGCTGCCAGCTGAAACGGGGAACAAAGAGGGTA